CTCTCTTTCTTAGTTAATGAGCCTAATAGAATTCTACCAGGCAGATAATTATCAAACATTTTTTATTTGAGGAAAAAGTATAAGGGAGGTGCTGAAATCCTTTAACAAGTGACCTTGTTTGGATGAGAGGTTATGTTGGTGACATTCATTCCTGTGGCTAGAGAGACCCTGTTTCCATGTTAACTGGCCAGTGAGCTTGGTAGGGCAGGCACATGTCTGCCATGTTCAGAACTTCAGCCCCAGTTCCTACCTAACTGAGGTGTCTGGTACAGGTGTCTGGTACAGACACTCAATACATGCTTTTTGGATAAATAGATATTTAAAAATTGGTTAACTTTGGAAGTTGGGTTCTTTTTGTCCTTAAGAAAATGATGTAAGTTTGCATCAGAGCATACAGTTGTTTTTTTTTTTTTAAGTTTTTTTTTTTTGTCCTTAAGAAAATGATGTACTTTTTTTTTAAGTTTTTTTTTTAATAGAGGCATGTTTTATTTATTTATTTGTTTGTTTGTTTTTTGTTTATACATGCCCTGGGTACAGTCAGAAGCGCGGGAAGGTGAGAGAATTCACCAGAGCCAGAGCGGGGAGCAGAGCAGGCAGAAGGACCGAAGTACACTGCCTGAGGGGAGCAGCGGGTGGCAGGAGAGGTCTGTGCGCCATGTGGGACCCTCCTCCGGTGGCCGGGGAGCAGCCGGGGATCGAACTGGCGCCGCAGAGGCCACGGGCAGCTTCGCAACCCAGCACTCAACCGCTGCACCACCGGGGAGGCCCTCAAAGCATATAGTTTTTTGTCCCAATTGGGAGGCACAGAAGTATAGAGCTTTAGTCGACTGATTATGCCAACACCATCTAGTGATACTTGCGGGAGATGGTTTGGTAGTTGTATGTCCTTGGCAAAAGCATAGAGGTAATTCTCATGGGTGGGTGAATGGATGTTCAAAAGCTTTTCAGGGCCTCCCTGATGGCGCAGCGGGTTGAGCGCTGTGCTGTGAAGCTGTCTGCAGCCTCTGTAGCGCGGGCTCGATTCCCGTAGATACCCACATGGCGCTGCAGACCTCTTCTGCCGTGCCTGCTGCTCCCCTCAGCAGTGGCTTTGGTCTATCTGCCTGTTCTGCTCCCCACTCTGTCTCTGGTGAATTCTCTCACCCTCCCGCACTTCTGGCCTCTACCCCAGTTCTTGTGTAAATAAATAAATCTTAAAAAAAAAAGTTTTTCACCAGTATGAGCCAGACACCTAGACACGAGTTTCAGTGTCCTCTTTACGTTCCCCTTTATCTCACATCTCATCCCAGCCCATTGTTCACGACAACCATCCCAATGCCCAAGGCATTATAAATGCCTCTTCTGCTTCTTATATTGATAGACTAAGATGCTAACTTAAGATCCCAGAGTCTAAAATCAACAAACCAGCATTTCCTGTGGATGTGCTCTGTGTTAGCCAACCTGCTAACATGTTCATCATCTCATCTAATCTTCTCTGCCACACCGAGAGAGAAGTTTTCTCTACCTCTCTCAGCAGTGAGGATGTGGGGTCCCAAATTCACCCAGCTAAGTGGTGGAACAGTAAGTTGGTATAAGTGGTTTGGAGTAGTAAGCAGGTCTTCTGACTTTAAAATTCTATTTTTATCCTATTTCTCAAGTATCATCAATATCTACTTGACTTTTAATCTCTATTTGAAAATTTTATCAGGGTCTACTTAAAACTGTAGTTTCTGGCTTGTGAGTAAAAATCATGTTGGGAAAATATCTTTGCAAGATCCTAGAGTGAAAGAATGTTGGGGAAAAAAGGGACTCTCAGCCACCATTAAGCTGTGACCCCCTTGAGTTCATCATTCCGCCATTCGACAAAAATGGATTAAGGGCATCCTCCATGTCAGAACCTCTGTACACCAATCAAGACAGATGAGGTCCCAGCCCTTAGGGAGCTTATGTTCTCATAGGGCAAACATCCAGGAAGCATAATGATAAACAACATAATTGTTGTATCATTATAAAGATAATAAAAAATACAATTATAGATTATGATAAGTGCTGTGCAGGGAATAAGCAGTGAGAGGAGACAGTAAATGGCTGAAGGGGGCTTCTTTATACAAAATGGTCAGAAAGTTGCTTTTGATCTTGCACCTCCTTGGACATATTGTACTTCCTCAGAAGTGCTTGTATCTCTCCTTGAATGCCTGACCCAGTGCCTGCCATGGTGGAGATGTTTCTAACCCTTGCTTGAATTAAAATATTGTGGTGCTTTTTGTTTTGTAGCCTTAGAGTCTAAACAATATATTAGTTTCCTTTTTGCTGGTATAAAAATACCCACAAACTTAGTTACTTAAAACATGAATTTATCATCCTATGGTTCTGGAAGTCAGGTATCGGCAGGTTTTAGCAAGACCACGTTGCTTCTTGAGGAGACACTACTTTCTTCCGTTTTCAGGCTCATAGAGACTGCCTGCATTCCTTGACTTGTGGCCATGGTCTTCAGCATCAGCACCATAACACCTTCTAATCTCTCTTTGATTCTGCTCCTTCCTCCTTTGTCATTTCATTGGTCCCGCCCATGTAATCCAGGATAAGTTCTGTACTTTCACTTCCTTGACTTAATCGCATCTACAGACTCCCAATTGCCATGGAAGGTGATAATAGTTCCACTCCAGGTGACCTTAGGTGGCCATGAGTCAGCCTACCACAGTATAAGATAAATGCTGATTTTATTCTGATGTTTGTTTATAGGTGAAAAATCTCGAAGTGAAACGAATTACCTAAATCCATACACTTGGTTATGGCTTTAGAACCTGATCACCCCATCTTATTGGTTCACCTATCTCTGTCCTGTCTATTTCTAAACTCTGATCTTTTCTTCCATAGCACTCAATGTAATTTACTTTTGATTATTGATTATTTGTTTTGTTTACTTATGACAATAAGAACAGAATGATATGCCGCTTGTAGTTACCAAAGTACCATTATCACACAGCTCTGTGCCTGATGCAGAGTAGGTAGGTCTCTAAAATTTTTTTTGAATAAAAGAATGAGGACTCTTTTATATGCCTGGGTAAATAGAACTAAGACTTCTGCAAATTTTTCTGTGCACTGGCTTCTGACAGGTCAAAGACTCTGCTATTTTTAAAGCATCAAGGAAAAAGTGAGCTTCATTGTTGGTCTGTAACTCGAATTGGTAAAGAGGGGCCCCATATCTGGCTAGCATTGTATTTTCTTGTTCCTCACGCTGAACTTTCCTTTCTAGGATGTGCATTTGCTGGGGGTATTCTGTATTGGAACTCTGATAAACAGTGCTTTGTGTGTGGATGTGATGTTAGCATCAGCAGTCTTTTGGGAGAGCCTCTGAATGGTTTACTTCTTGATTCCAGTTTATGATTAAAGAAGGCAGAAAACCTAACTGCATGCTTTATGACTGCATTTAGGCTTTCTCTACTAGGCACTAAAGAGCTAGTGGAGTATAAAATCACAGTTCTTACTGAACCAGGCAAGTTCACATTTATGGGTTTACTTAGGAAGTTGTATGGCACTTAAATAAAAAGTATAGGTCCTCTGCAGCACAGACATTAAGTTCTTAGAAGTCTTAAGTGAAAAGACCTTATATTAAACATAGAAGGAAAGGTAAACACAGTACTTCCTGACATGATAGAAAGCAAACAAATTATATTTATATTATGGCAGTACTTTTCTCCACACTTTCATTAATCTTGCCTAATGAAGGCACTGTTTGGCCAAACATGTTTGCATCTGACATCTTTTTCTCTTAGGAAATAATGTACTTGTCACTCAAGGTTTATTGAAATGGAAAAATATGAAGCCAAAGGGAGAGGCCTTCTCCCTTAGTGTTGCTTTTAAGAACCCAAATTCTTAACCTCACTTTGTAATGTGTTTACTTTGGTTTTAGTGGCCAAGGATGTCAATATTCTTTTTGATGAATTAGAAGCTGTCAACAGTCCTTGCAAAGACGATGATTCTCTTCTTCACCCTGGAAATCTGACCAGTACTTCAGATGATGCTAGCAGATTGGAAGCAGGGGGAGAGGTAAGAGTATGTGATTTCTTGAAAACATAATTCTTGATTCAGGCAGGAAACTGTGAAGCATAGGTTATTTTAAAGTCATAACTCATTGAATTGTAGGTTCCAGAAAAACAAGGGGCAAGATTCTTTTGATATACTCAGTGGGTTTAGCACATTTCAAGGATGCTAAATCTATGGAGGCTTATAATTATGTTTCACTAGGTCAGGTACTTCCCTTCTCATACAAGGGAAGATTCTTTAAACCATCCATCATTTTAAGATCATCCACATTCTAGGTATCCCAAATGAGCTGAATGTAAGCTTCACACGGATGGGCTTCCTTGTATAAATCACATGAACCAGCCCTAGTTAGATGGTGTTGTCTGAAATCTCCAACTTTCCATTTGCCTCTGGAAACTTGAAACTCATTACAACTGGAAATAGACATCCATTCTTATGTCATTTTGGAAAAAGTATTTTGTTTAGAGGCTTTCCCTGTTGCTCAGGTTGTGTTCAATGGAATTTATGTCTCCTCTGTGTATGCATTGGGTATAGATAATAACACAGAATTAGTCTTCCACTTCTTGCATATTCCTAATGGTTTTATTATTCCAGAGCCAGTAAACCATTGAAAGGATAACATCTTTGAACAGGGAAAATTATTTACTTCTACCAGGCTTTCCAGACCTATCCTTACAGCCACTATATGCTGTATTAAAAAAAAATAAATATGTGGGCCTCCCCGGTGGCACAAGGGGTTAAGCACCACACTATGAAGCAACCTGCAGCCTCTGCAACAGGAGTTCAATCCCTAGCCTACAATCCACATGGCGAAGCAGTCCTCTCCTGTCTCTCCCGCTGCTCCCCTCAGCAGTGTATTTCAATCTGCCTGTTTTGTTCCCCACGCTGTCTCTGGTGAATCCTCTTCCCCCTAACACCCCCCCTCACATCTCTGGCCTGTACCCCAGTTCTTGTATGCATAAATAAATATTTTAAAAAATATGTTAAATATCAAACAATTTATAAATTGCGTATCATTCTTGCTCAGGGGCCACGCAAATCTTTGTATCCTTCCAATTTTAGTGTATGTGCTGCCTAAGCAAGCACTATTTTTTTTTAAAGAAAAAAGCCCCATTCCATAATTATCTCTTTTTTTTTTAAATAAATCTTTTTTTTAATCTTTTTTTTTTAAAGATTTATTTATTTATACAAGCACTGGGTACAGTCAGAAGCAAGGGAGGGTGAGAGAATTCACCAGAGCCAGAGGGGAGAGCAGAACAGGTAGACTGACGAAGTACACTGCTGAGGGGAGCAGCGGGCGGCAGGAGAGGTCTGCGCGCCATGTGGGACCCTTGCCCAGCGGCCGGGGTTTGAACTGGCGCTGCAGAGGCTGTGGGCAGCTTTGCAACCCAGCGCTCAACCACTGCGCCACCGGGGAGGCCCTCCATCATTATCTCGTGTCTCAGATACTTCAAATGGCACACCATGGCATAAAGGAGGAACCTTGAAAGGAACCTCAAAAAGCAAGTAGGCTTATCTCCTTAACTTGCAGATGAAGAAACAATCTCAGGAAAGTTAGAACTTTGTTAACATCTCTCCTGATACCTTTGCTGAAGCCCTGTTTTTTTATAGCCAAGTGCAAATAGTCTAATTCTACAGGATAGTTTCCTTGCTTGGCAAATAATCATTAGTTTGGGTAGATTTTTGAGTGCCCCTTAAGGCAAAAGCCAAAAAATAGTGAGGATAGTTATCATGAAAAATGCCTGCAGGAAAACCTGAGGCAGGGGCATTTCCTCCCTCCTAAGATTTTCCCCTTGGATGAGGCCGTGTGCATGGCTCTTGTGCAGGGATGTGGCTCCTCATGATGACATGGCCAGTTGACGAGTTTGCAAACCGTCACGTCCCATGTATAGATACGTTTATATTGCTACTTGGAAACATATCTATACTGGGGCTTAGATAAATGGAAGCTCCTCCTTCCTACTTTTTAGGTATATAAACGTCTCTTTAAAGTCTATGAGTTTGGAAAGCTGGTCCCAACCTGGCTAGCCTATACTTGGTCTCTTTCAGCCTGTGTATGATTATAACAAATATATACCTAATTATTTTTGTTCTTTAATTTTTTATAAATTGCTGCAAAATAATATTTGAAATATGTAGTTTATAAAGCATAGTAATAAAATGACCACCTTGAACCACCAACCAATTTATGAACTAGAATGTTCTTTCAAATTAATGGTGACAACTTAATTGTAGGCTACTAACTCCAGTTGTTTTTAAATGGAATGGAAAATTCCATTAAATATTTGCAAGTGTACAAATAGCAAGAGTAAGTATTATTTCATGAAACTCTGTGTCATATATTTTGTGCATATGTGTTTATAAGTGTACATAAAGAGCACAAAGTCCTTTCTTATGATGGGCAAAATATTTGAGAAATTTTGAAATGGAATGTTACTAAGATTATCAAAAAATACTTGCAGTATTTTTTACCCTACCAGTTGTACCATCCTCCTGAATCTTTGTTTTCTAATTTCTTGCTCTAAAAATAGCTTTACCATGGACACATCTTTACAACTTATTTTAGTTTTATTTTGTGCTTTATAGAAAATGGTGCCATGTAGTATGAAGTCATCTGTGACTTGTTTATTTTCTGTCAGTATTGTTCTTCGGATTTATGTTTATTAGATGCTACTATAGATCATTCATTTTTCACTGCTATGTAATATTCCACTGCATTACTATTCTACAATGTATTTGTCTATTTACCTGTCTAGGGACATTTGAAATGATTTCTATTTTATTTAAAAAATTTGTACTCTTATGAACATTTTTTCTAAAAATAGTCACATATGTCTCCTAGTTAACCTTATCCAGAACTTATCTTGTGTTACATGTTCAATTTTATGAGATAACACCAGTGTGTTTTCCAAAGTAGATAAATCGCTTTTACTCTCACATGTAGAATATGAAAATTCTTAGTTGCTTCACACCTTGTTAACATTTAGGATTGTTAGTTGTCCTAATATTTGCCCTTTGATGCAATGCTTTTTCCAATTATTATTCTGTCCCCTCTATTTTACATTTTGAATAAAATATAATTTTGATAAAACAAATAATAATTTAGTTTTAGTTCTTTAACATTATCCACCTGTGCTTTAGTTTTAGGAGAGTCTTAAAATCAGTCTCTTTCTCTTTGTATGCAGACAGTGCCAGAAAAAAACAAATCAAATGGACTTTACTTTAGAGATGGAAAATGTCGAATTGACTACATTCTTGTATACAGAAAATCCAACCCCCAGACTGAAAAGAGAGAAGTATTTGAAAGAAATATAAGAGCAGAAGGATTACAAATGGAGAAAGAGGTAAATACTTGGCTTGGATGAGAAAAAACTTATAAACATACATATATTTATATCAAGAGGCAATTTTAAAAAATAGGCAGTCATTATGTTAACTGAATGTTTCATTTGGTCCCAGGGTTTGCCAATCTGCAGTGTTTGGGGAATGTTCCAGCAATTAGACTTTCATAGCACAGTTTGCCTTTGAGAGCATTTTAATGCCAAATGAGTGTGAAAATCAAGACACTCTATTCCAGTTGAGTGGATTGTTTCAAAATGTTACAGTCTTTAAAATGGTTGATGAGATAACCCTCACTATATTATTAAGTTACAAGTGTACAGAATTAAAATTCAAGATATTTTTACTCTGCATCATGATCAAAAGCCTAGTTTCTGTCCCTCACTATATAGTTGACCACTTATTTCACTCCTTTCCCTTCTGGTAAATTCCAATTTGTCCTATTTTTCTGAGTTTGTTTTGGTTTTGTTCTGTTTATTCTTTGGCTTTGTTTCTTTACCTTCTCTGTATAAGTGAAATCAAACACTGTTTCTCTTTCTCCTTCTGCACAATCCACTCAGGGTCCATTCATGTTATTGTAAATGGCAAAATTTCATTTTTTTAACAGCTGAGTAGTATTCCATTGTGTCTCTATGCCACCTTTGTTTATCAATTCATCCATCAGTGGACACTTAGGTTATTTTCATATCTTGCTAATTGTGAAGAATGCTGCAGTGAACATAGGAGTGCAGATGTCTTTTTGAATTAGTCTTTCTGTATTGTTTGGACAAATACCCAGAAGTGGAATTGCTGGATTGTATGGTGTTTCTGTTCTAAACTTTTTGAGGAATCACATTAGTGTTTTCCATAATGGCTGCCTCATTTCCATCCCTACCAACAGCAGTAGATTTTTTTGGTAGATTACTACCAAAAAGAATCCAGATTCCTTTTTCTGGATTCTTTTTGAATCCAGATTCATTTTTCTCCATATCCTCACCAACATGTAAGTGCTTATCTTTTTGAGCACAGCCATCCTGACAGGTGGGAGGTGTTAACCATTATGGACTTTGGTTTGCATTTCTCTGATGATAAGTGAGAATGAGCATTTTCTCAGGGATCTGTTGGCACATGTAAATCTTCTCTGGATTCTATTCTGTTCACCCTCTGCCCATTTTTTCATCAAATTTTTTTGTTGCTGAGTCTTACAAATTCTTCCTATACTTGGGATATATCCCCCTTATCAGAAATGTGAGGTGCAAATATCTTCCCTATGCAATAGGATGTCTTTCCATTTATATATTTTCTTTTCCTCTGAAAAGCTTTTTTGTTGGTTGTATTCCCATTTATTTCTGCTTTTGTGGAGCTCACCACCCATGTATTTTTTAAAGGGCTATGACTTACCTGACTTCTTACATCTTCTGCTCTTCTACTGAATGGAATGTTCCGTTTGCATGAATCTAAGGAAACTTTGGATAAAATGCCATCACCTCGTTCTGGAGGTGCTTTTTACATTTTAGGAAATATATAATGAGTGTGGGCTCCTCCACATACAGGAAGAGACTATGTGAATGATTTGACCAAACATGGCTGGAACTTACAAAATGAGTCCAGTTCTTAAGAGACATCCAGGTTGTTTTTTATCAGGTTCAAAAACTAAAGTCACCTCACCCCTGTTTTGACCTTCCTTTTCCTCCTCCTCTGCCTGGGGAGTGGGGGTTGCTTGAAATGTTCTCACTTTAAGTCAATATACATTTAATAAAATGCTTTTGAGCTAAAATAAAACAACAGACAAAAATTGGGGATTGTATTTATCTAGACCTTAGATAAGCAAACCACTCAGTCAAAAGTGGTGACTCAGTGTCACCAAATGATTGTGAAATTGCTGTTTACCTACGTTTCTATTTTATTTTAATTTTTTATTTCACTAACATTGTTTTACATCATTGTTTATATTTTGGAAGCCTGGGATTTCCCCTATGCATGGGGAGTTTTAAGGAAAAATTTACTAAGTAAGGTACAAAAGGCCCAATCAGGCCTCAGTGGGATTGCTGTGTGCCCCAAATCTGTGACCCTATTAGCTGGACTGCCTAACTCTTCTCAGATTGCCCCTCAACATTGTGCCAGGCTCTGGAACTTTTTCATAGTCACTAGGTGGATGGGCTCCTGGACGCAGTTCCAACGTGGGTGTGTTTGAATGCTCCCCCAAACTGCAAGCCATTCTCAGACAGGGTGTCTAAAAATTTCATCTAGAGATAGTGTCAGGGGTTCAGTCCTACAAATCTCCCCCCAACTTCAGACTCTAGTCACCACAGGTTGTTTTCTGTACTTCTAACCGAGGCTGTAAATCAGAGGTCCCCACAATCCCTACCTTCCTTGGGGTCAGTTTGTCTGCTAGAGGAGTTCCCAGAACAACATTTTACTTACGAGGTCCCTGGTGTACTTAAGAGGAGGCCCCTGAGGAACAGCCAGGTGGAAGGAGATGCTCAGGGCAAGGAGTTTGTGCACTTCCATGTCCTCTTCCCTCTCCCAGCACCTTCACCTGTCCTTTGGCCCAGAAGCTCTCTGAACCCCATCCTTCTGGGTTTCTATGGAGACTTCCTTACACACGTGTGATCTATGAACTACTGGTCTTTGACAGTTGATTCAACCTCCAGGTTCTGTCTTACCAGGGGTTTGGGGATGGTACTGAAAGTTCCAGCTCTCTGTCCAGGGTTGCTTTTTCTCATACCTAACTCCCATCCATAGGTGGGGTCCAAAAGCTATGAAGA